TCTCTTAACAGTTGAGTGCAGTGGTTACGTTGGGCTACGTAGTTGTCCCACGTTTCTGGTGCTGGAGCTTCTCTGTACACTCGCCATGCTGCGTTGCGTACTGTCATCCATTTTCGGGTTCTGCTCCTAACGAAAGAAACGGATTTGCACTTATTGTAAGCTTTTATCTCTGAAGCCTGTGCAATCAGCTGACTGAATGTGTTGACGAACTCGAGCCAGGCGACTTCTGGGGTTCTTCTTCGAGGAAAGACCATGTTGTGGCGCTGACTAGCTGGGAGAGTCGGTCGTACCTTGTGATGGTTCGCACAGTCTCATCTTTATCATTCCGATATTCTGCATAGCAGACGAAGTTGAAACTGATCACTGCGTGATCACTGCGACCCAACGGGCAGTCTAAAACCAACGCATCAATCATATGCTCCTCGTTGGTAAGCACAAGATCCAACACAGATGGCCTGTTACCAGTTCTGAACCGAGTGGGTAAAGTGATGTGGTTGTAAAGAGGAACAGTAGTTACTAGATCTTGTAAATCGGTTTTGAATTGTTCGCCGGTTGTGGCAGGGGCTTCTAAACAATGTACGTTGAAATCACCCATGATAAGAATGTGAGTGTACTTTGGTTGTAAACTGCACCTTAAAGCAGCCATTAGGTGGTAGTCGGTTTCGGGTGTTGAGTTAGGGGCGCGGTACACCAAGATAATAAGGCAAGCGTCCCTGCCTTTTAACTGCAACCGGCACCAAAGAGAGTCGGGGAACTGCGAATCTGAATCCTCCACGGCTTCGCACTGTAAGTCGTTTCGGTAGTACAGGATTACCCCTCCTCCTTTTGTGAGCCTATCGTTCCGGATCAGCGACATGCCGGGTAACGACACTTCAGCGTCCGTCATTCCCGTGTGCAACCATGTCTCGGTGATACCAATGACATCATACGAGCCGGAAGCTTGGCGATATTTCAGTTCAGCCAGTTTGTTAGAAAGTCCCTGAGCATTTGTATACAAGCAGGCCAGTTTCTCGGTCTCTAGGAGCCCGCAGAGAGGTGAAGCTGTCAAGTGTGGGAGAATGCCGACCGATGGGAGGTCGGCAGTTATTCGTTTTTTTGATGGGTCAATGATACCTCGTTTGCAACTTGATTCGGCCAAGGTGCGTCCCAGCCTTCGTTTAGACCTACTTCAGAGTCAATTAAAGCAGCAGTCAAGTTACACTTCTGTACACTCGTCAGGATGCTTGCTGCTTCAGTTGCTTTAATACTTGAGCTGTGCGAATTGTTTGTGACCTTTAACCGAATTTCGGAAGGAAGATGTTTCCGATTTCTTCGCCATCGATCCAAAACATCCTTTGCTTGTTGCTCTGACTGAACCACAAGTTTTAGGATTCTAGGGCCGCATCCTCTATAATTCGATGAGAGAGGTATCCTGGTGAGCGATAGTGCCACAACATCATCCAAAGAAAGTGTTTCACGAATGAACCGCCACTGTTCTAAATCGTGCTTTCCGGTCTCTTGAACATGGTTAGAAGGATGTTCTGGCACTCCATGTATGAAGACTGTGTTTAGGCGGTCTTGCTTGCTGTGCCCCTCTTCGGTGTTGCTTTTTGATTGTCGCGCGCTCCAAGGGACATCAGGATAGATACGTATCGCACAGGATTCGTGTTTTAGCGCACTTGCGGAGAGCAAAACATTTTCCACGTCGGTTGAGGATTCTAGAGTTACTCGAATAAGTCTGGGTTCACCATAGTGTGGCGAGTTCGGATGACGAGTAATTCGTAACAAGTTTACGGGCTTGGCTTTGATACTCATCTGCATACACAATGAGTTCCATTGGTCTTGGTCGTCTGATAACCTATCCCGCAATGTGATGGCGGTAGATTCAGGGACATTTGAGCATACGACAGTCCGGGCACTGTTGTTGGATCCCTTTTTCATCGATCTACAAGGTATGGTACTCATTTGTCTTGACTTGTTGACAAGTGATTGTTTGCTGTTTTTCTCTCCATTTGCGTTAACGGTGTTTACAATGGAAGAGGACGCAACGGCGGCCTCTCGGTGGACCCTTGCAGCAATCTCTGCATATGTAACCGATGTTCTGGGAGGCTTAGTCTCGACAAGAGATATTTGAGCTACAGGTACCAAGGGTTGTTGTTTGGCTGCTTCATCCTTGTTAATACTAGATGTCAGGTCTAGTGGAATATGCTTAACCAGACGTTTTGAATGGTGCCTGATTTTCTTTGCTGTGAGTACTGCTTGATTCACGTAGGTACAGTCTGTTTTCGCCCGGCGTTCTACCAAAGTTGGAGAAGACAACGGAGATGGAGACATGGCTGATTGCGGTGCAGGCGAATCGATTTGTTCAGCATTCCGTTGCTTAGCAGCCGCTACGCTTCTGTGGTCCATACTCGCTCCCATTGAAGTAATCTCATTGTTTATCCTCTGCTCTGCTTCTGCGATTAACCGGTTGCATTTCTCAGCTAGGATAAGGAAGCACTTAACGAGGGGGATGGTGGAACACGCAGTACAGAACCAAAATGCATCTTGGGAGCTATTTCGCTCCCGTAACTGTTGTTGGGACACATTTGCATATTTCGTATGGTACCATTCCAAACAGTGCGAACAAGCTAGACCGATTTTTACTACCCGATGACATTCTCCTAACCCGCAAATGCCTTTCGATGGGAGTCTCTTCGGTTTCGCCTTTCTGCCATTCAGTTTGCTGTCGTTACCTGGCCCAGTGGGTTGGTTAGCGTTCTGTACTTTTACGGCTTTGAGAGCGGCGCACATCGGTCAGGCGAGCGTGGTGGTTGCAAGGTCAAATGAGCGGTCGGCGTGGTCGCGCGGTCCGTGTGATGGGTAATGCAGCCGCACTGGCTGACAAGGTCAAAAGGAATGGCGAGTGACTGCAACCTGAACAGAGCGCTGAACACAGATTCTTTCACAGCTGTGTTGCGAAACACTGGATCGGAGTAAGCTTAGGCTTTTCGGCCTGCCTCGAGAATTCTGTATCGAATGGTGTCACACAGAATGGCAATCGGCTCAATACGATTGAAGTAAACGCTTGCGCTTAATCACAGATGCCAGTGAAAACGCTTATTGATGGCACAGCCTCTAATCGTAGAAGATATTTCCACGTATGATGGATCACTGTGTAGAGCTGGTAAATCCGGTTCGAATGAGCGTACAGTGACAACGCTGCGAGAAGATGGAGAGAGGATAGATTGAAATAATCCAAATGAACCAGTAGCACGCACGTCACGCGTGTGTGAGGATGACCTTCAGACGACGTGCAGCTCATTTCAACACTAGCTTGCTAGAAATGTCTGTAAAATGGCTTATAGAGATGAAGCCAAGCAGGTGTATATTGTGCCCCAAGGACGGCGAATACCAGCTCTTGTTCATTTTACCTTAGCGGAATAAAAACTCCTACATCAATTAATCCGATTCTCTGGAATTGCTTGGATTTGTTATGTCACAATATACCGTTTACAATTATTTTTTACTTGGTCTTTTAGAGGTAATCATTCACTTGTCAACTTTACCTATGTACAGCGTACATTGGAAAGTACGTGAATGCAAGTGGAACAAAAATCTAGCAGTAGGCGTTAGTCAGTCAAAATGTGAGCCACTAGAACTCAACAGGTAATTTAACACCGTTCAAAGTCATTTGGCCTTACAATGAATTTAAACGGAGTCCTATTTGTGATCAATCACTGAAAAATTTAGTTCCACTACCGAACAATTATGTACTTAATATAAAAAGTAACCTAACTGGGATTAAGCGAACAGCCCTGTTATGGAACATTGGCTCCTCGTCTTCCTTCTGTCCGGTTCGCTACGATTCCTGCTAAGATTACGCTACCAAAATTACTTCTTCCGAGTTAAGTAAAATCATGGGTTCGTGACAAATAAAAACTTGGACATAAGTTGATGCATATGGATAATTAGTTTTCTCCGAGATCCGCCCCAGCATTTGGAAACTAAAAACTTTGGACATGAGTGCAAGCTATGCAAGTCGAACGTATTGTTTCATATTCCTGCAACTGTGTTTCTTAGTCGGCTTTTACTTGTTTGAATTTACGAAGCAAAACAACCACACGAAGGATGTAACATGAGAATTGAAAAACGCTGACAATACTGGTAACTGAAACGAAAATAACGTTTAATAATGCTAAGTAAAATGATAACTATAGAGAAATCAGTTTTGTTAACTGCTACGCAGTGTAACACAAAATAAAGATGATTTTATTTCATGTAAATAATTCAAAATCTACACTGCGAAAGTATGCCAGACAGTATTTTATTACAGGCTTAATTAAATTCAGAAACGTATACGGGATTTTAAGTAGCAGTACAAGTTTATAGTTGTTAATTATGTGGCCCGGGCGACATCCCACATGGTTTAAGGGTTAAAGCTGCTGGCTAGCTGTCAACTGCCTCTGGTCATAGATTTGAGCATTAGTAGGGGACCGAGGGAATGCGCACCACGGGCAAGCCTCAATGGGTGTAAACTCGTCTGGTGCTTTTCCCGGACTAGTCTGTGCTAGGTAGCTTGAAAGCTAAATGGACGAAAATATTAAAAACAAAATCCTTCTACTAATTAGTAATTTAGAAGGTAATCTCTCCTACTTTCAAATACCGTGGACTTACCGTCTAGAGAGGGGAACTCATGACCCTCGGAGGTTAACCACTCTCATCTGCTAAGGTAGCAACATGCGTGGCAGTGGAAGATAGGTCGTGCTATATCCCAGTTAACTTGCACATTTTGTGGCCCAGACGTCCTCTCCCATGGCTCAGTGAGTTAAGCTGCAGGCTCGTTGATATCTGCCTTTAGCCGCCATGGGTGCACACCCCAGTAGGTGACTGAGGGAATGCGTACCACTGACGAGCCCTAATAAGGCGAAACACCTCTGATCCTTTTCCGGACTAAACTGTGCTAAGTAGTTTATGAGTAGTTTGGAAGAAAACAGTAAACTTATGTTTGTAGTTCTTTAAAGAAGTTATTTCACTTTTGTATGTTACAACTTACTACAGAAAGATGTAGGTTACCGCATTAAAACTACTAAGCCCATTTTCACAGCGCGTTAGGTGAAGAGTATTGATTTGTTAAGAGCATATTCGTAACTTATAGTATGTTCAGTGATAAACAAAACATTACAAAGAATTCATGTGTTTTAAGCCTTTAGTTAACGTTTCTTAATAAAATTTCAATTTGTTCTGCTTTCCTCCCTTTAGGTTCCTTTTTAGCCAGAGGTAAAGTTCAGGTTACTCTCAGTCGGTTGCACAACTCATTTACGATTTCGTTCAATTCCTATTCACTTACAAATGGTAATGCTTTCAATTATTTAAAATAAACCACATTTACACATCACCGTTATCTAAATGCGACATTCCCAATCATTTTGCTGGAGCCACCTGAATACTTATGTCTCTCAATATAAAACCAACATTTTGTTATGCATTTTACTGTAAGAAAAATAGGAAACGTCTGGCAACTATTCTTTATCTTGTTGCCGCTACTATCTTTGCTTAAGATTCTGACAGTGTTGCTAAAAACGTAAATTAGCTCTTTAACCTCTTTAAAATATCTCATGGCATTCACATAGTATATGTACAAATGTAAGCCATTTGTAACAAATTCTATTAGTTATTCAGGAGAACTGTGATGTATGGGACGTTTGCTTTTTATACAATACATTTAATACTAAAGAGATGCAAAATGGAGATCCGTTCAAATATTTGTGCATATCGCAATGAAACGTTCAACTATCTATTACAAAATGTTTCCTTCAAACATTTATGCCAATCACTTTGTTTATAAGTATTTAAACGAGGTCGTAGTAAGTGCAAAGACCTTTTTATTTTTAACTCACCACACACCTTTATCGTATACTCATGCAGACATATCCCTCTTTCAATTAGTATGTACACAAATAACTACAAAAGTATATTTAGAAAACACGTTAAAAACGGATTATATATGGTCTTGAGATTCCATGATGAAATGGAATGGTTTGCATCAGTCAACGTATGTTGGCAACTGTGTATTCAAGACAACGTACTTAAGCGTTATTTCCAGCAAGTTTAATTCTAGCCCCATTTAACTTCACCTAAATGTTGATCATCTAATATATAATATCATGCTAGTGGGTGATGCCTTAATTCCGATAAGAGCAGGAATACAAAACCACATAAAATTCATAAAGCCTTAAAAAACAAATGCCTTCTCACAGCACGATTATAATACGTATTTCACAATACCGCAAACAATTAATTACGTTTTACTAATCTCAAAACAAAATAGTTGAATTTTCTGCCTATAGTTGTTTGCATACCAATCAGCAAAATTTGCAAAACGCTCATAAACCGTGCATAGCTTTTTCCTGCAGGTGAGTTTATTATTCCTTATACACTTGTTTCTAATGGAAATGTGTCAGTTCGCTGCTGAACAAAAACAAATCATTTAATTATATATCTTGTGAAATAAGCCTACTACACTGTCTATAACACCAATCAGGAATCGGCATTTTTATCGCATTGTTTTTGCCCAACTGATATATTAATATTAGTAGCATACTTGAGAACGAGCAGGCTGGCGACTATACACTGTTAACCCATTTTAAAAAAATAAGCCAAATTTTGTCGCAAGATTAAATACTCGCACGAAAACGGATGCATTGCAATAATCATCGTGTTTTCGCTGCACAGATTAGTAGAATACAAATGGTATCGTTTCATTCAACATTTTACTGCGAATGTTTAGCCGATATGCAGCGTATATTAAAAATGCAGTTCGTCATTACGAATTAAAACGTCGGGCTACAAAATTATAAACAGGAGAAATTTTATTAGAAGCGCTCAAGCAATAAACATATGCCCGTTTGTCTCCTTAGTATTTTCCGGCTTTTTACAACAAAGTATTACTTTTTGTTTGTAAGCTCCAAACGAAATTGCAAGTAAGTTGAGGTTTATCGTGTAATGAAAACAACAATGAATTTTGTTTGATTGTAGGCGAAATAGGTTACGCAGAAGTTGGAGTCTGTGCGCATTTAAAATGACATAATAATGTTAAAAGAAACATTCCTGTAAACAGAAAGAAAACCAAGACTGGTTTCACAACGATTGGATCAGTCGAAGTAAACTTATTTTGCAAAGTTCAATATATTTGTCGTTGTACAAACAAAAAGCATTTACTAGGTGCAACCAGGATAAAATAGTGGTGTAGGCTATACAATACACATTTAATGATATATATGATGCGACACTTAATCAAAATATATCAACTTAAACATTATGCGCATTGTTAAGCATTGAGCGTTAATGGCATCAGCATTCACAAATAGTCTAGCCAAACCAATAGGAGTTTACAAAATAGATTCCGTCAAATCTCACAGCCAAACGTAAGACCTAATATAATACTACAAAAATGACTTTAGTATGGCACCCTAACTTATACCTTCTTTCAACATTTGAGCCGCTGGAAGTCTTAACCCTCTTGCTAAAATAATCTCTACCCCAAGGACCGAGGGACTTTTCTAAAATTCTCCCACCAATGTATTCCGTCTGGTTAGTAACAAAAACTTACGTTTAGATAATTGAGATGCATCACAGCCAGCTTCCAAATCAAATTGTCTTCCACATGCCCGGAAAAGCACTAGACTGCAGTTTCAGCTCCGTGGCATCATCAGTAGTGCGTATCCTTCGGACCCATCATAATATTATTGTAATTATATATAATAATTAAAACAATTATTTATACTTACTTTGACACTATCAGGTACACATATGGTATCCGATTGACCACAAATGTTTCGCATGCCATTATTATATTCAACTAATCAACTCGTAGAAATATCAGATACCGGTATTACACGAAAAATGGTTAAGCAAAAGATAACTGTGTTATTCCATACGACGTAGTTAAACATCTCATAGCATAGATGATAAAACATTTGGATTACTTTATATTTATTTTTTGTATTGCGTGGCTTAGGAGTAATTTTATGGTTATCCAACACTGAGGTTTAGATAGCGTACCCAATTATATAGAGCGTTTATCGTCAATTTTGCAGTTTACGTGCTTTCCTTGTTAGTTACTTTAAGGAACATTCGATTTAAAGCGACTGCCCATATCACAACTCTACAAAAGATTTCCTAGCAATGGACTAAGTTTGCATAAAGGTGTAGTATTATGCATAACCAAAGCTGTATAACATAGGGTGGTTTTATTTTATGCTTAAATTTACAGTTGCGTAGTTCAACGAATAAGTAAAACCATACGGTTCTATAAACCGGTAGGTCAATACTTGCAAAACAATTTTATGTAGTGGGCTCTAAAGGCAAGCAAATGCAAAAATACATTTGCTTGCCGACATAATCAAGCAACCCTTAAAAACAGCCGTTAAATCAAATAGATATAATATCCGGCCAACGTATAAGTGTAAGGACCATGTGAGTGACGAAAGTACATTCAAAATCCGAAACCTAGTTTTATTGCCCTGTTTGGTAACATAAGTCTAGTAATCGTAATTTTGTTTCCTAAAAACACAAACGATCTCAGTCAGTTATTGCTCTGCATATTTTTACACCCAATGCGCTCTTTGATGAATTTTACTTAAAATAAACAAATTACTAGATTATGATAAAGTAGTATTCACGTACATACAACATTAAACTCCAAGTTTTGCAAGTACGCATTCAATTTTCTTTTAGGAAAAATGTTAATCCAGTGGTTGGATAGGTTACAGCAATGTGAGTATACAAGATTTAATACTTCAGATATGACGGTCTTTAATCTTATTAGACACAATATAATTATGTCTACCGTTAAATTTTATTAACTACCCAGCAGACTGTTTTACGTGTACTGCTTATCTGCATTAGTTTATTTTGACAGACTGGGAAAACGTAAATTTAGCAAACTAGCTGGTCTCAGATACAATGAAATGACTCGCAATAAATCTTGCGATTCCAATGCTCAGGTGCGCTGTGAGCAAGACGTTGAGTTTTGCACACTTCGCTTCATTTACTGCTCGACCTAGATAAGGGTGGCCTGAAAGTAAAACTTATCGCTGTTCTTGGAAAGGGAACCGGTGGCAAAATGCAACCTTTGAGGGTAACCTTTGTTGGAGAGACACGTTCTAACTTAATATGGTCCCGCCTCAATGGACTGAAAGGTATAAAATTTCCATGTGCGCGCTGATGCAGAAACAGCAGAAGGAGACTCAATTATCTGATGACTGAACTCAAACGACGCATGGACGATGAAGAAACAAATCACCGTGTCGTAAATTTTTAGGATGTCTCCTGGATTCCACTCCGAATCCGGATCAACAGCTTCCTAACGCTTTAGGCATACTCAGCAGTTCCTAATGCGGCCTATGTGTAGAATTATACTAACATCTGCAGTCTGATGAATTAACGCGATGAGATATGCTGCTTTTTAACCTCTCAGCGGCCAGATGTATTAGTCCTTGCTAAGACATGGTCAAACACTGACGCAACCGCCCATTAAGTGGAAATCAGCAGTTACTTGTACTTCCGCTTTGATGGGCTATCAAAGGATTGCGGTAGCGTTCCGCTTTACATAAGGCATTCCTGGTGTGGGACACTAGTGAGGACGCACCGAGGCGCTGATGGGCTATGTGAGCAGTTATGGTGTTCGATTCATCTCAGACGCTGTGAGATGCTAGTGGTCTTGGTATGTCGCAAATCCACTCAGCCGGTGCTTCCACGGTTGCCGCATATCCGCAACCACATGAGTCGTCAACTGTTCCTACTCATGGGCTATTATTCCAATGACAGTGGCCGGAGGCTGAACTTCTCCCCGGCCATTTTGAATTCGAGAGGCGGTTTACGGAGTGCAAAATTGAAAATGGGGCCATGTAGCTTATCAAGCCACCGACGCACATAACTACGCGTGCGACTCAATCGTGCTTTGACCTGCTTTTTAACAGCTGTGCGCAAAGTGTGCACGACATTCAACTCGTGGAGCCCCTGGAAGCGAGTGAGCAGTAGATGATAATAGCCAGTTTGGAACCACCGCTGCGGATTCTACCTCGCTGGAGCCAGGCGTAAACTATTGAAAGGCGGACTTTAATGGCACCACCTGAGCAGCGAGCCAGATGAACTGGACAATACCTGTGGATTCGTCCGTCTAAACCTATTGGACTCTCTTTAAAGAGGGAGTGAAATTTTGTGCGTCCCAATGTACCTCGCAGTTATTGGAAAGTTTGGCCAGTCAAGCCAAATTAATTTGACAAACTGTACTGCAAACTGGCCACACGACGACGCAGACTATGGAACAAGTTCGGGGTATCTGGCGCTGGCGAGGATTACAAGGAGGAAAACGCATAGTAACATTTTTACCACTCGTAAACGAAAAGCACAGACGTTTCAAGGAGCAGATTGCAACCGCTGCCAAAACTATCTCAAGAGGATTTTCGCCTACATGCAGCGGTGCCTGAGGCCTGCAGGCAATGTGCCATTGTTATAAGGATCAGATAGAGAGCTCCTAACCTCCAGTCTAGAACATGCTTCCGCATCGGCGGCGCACTTCTCTTCCGTATTTTCAAAGGACCAGGGGTCTGTACCGAGTTAGACGAGTGCCGCTCTCGCTGAACCAGATAGGCTGGATTGTAGCACTGAAGATGTACGCAAGCATCTCGCAAGGCTTGACGAGACAAAGCCTGCCGGGCCAGATGGAATCCACCACTGATTCTCAAGTCCCTATAAACCATCATCTCCCCTTCTGTAACTAAGGGTTTCAACAGGTCATTATCCATTGAATTATTACTGGGTGATTGGAAATGCTCAGCAGTAAAACCAAAACCGAAATGTGATAGCCCAAGAAAAGTGGACAAGTACCGGCAGATCTGCCTGACAGCTGTTTTGGCAAAGGCGCTGGAGAAAATCTTGAAGAAGAGTCTTCTGCAGATTCGCGAGACGAAAAGCCACTTGACGCCCACGGGATGGTTTTGTGAAAGGTCGCCAGTGCACCATCAACCTGCCGTGGACAAGGCACGAATAGTTGTAGGCGCCAAACAAAGACATTTTGGTCGACGTCACTCCCATTGACTTCAGCAAGGTTGTTGACAAGATGAACCCTGCACTGCTTCTCAACACGCTGAGGGTGTGCGGTGTTGGCGGCTTGCTGAATCGATGGATCAATAATTGGTTTTTGATCTAAAGTGAAGCGTCCAGGTTGTGATTATTTTACCGATTGATATACATCGAGCAACCGTGTGCTCCAAGGCACTTTGCTGGGACAGATTTTGTTTCCGATGCATGTAAATGATGTGTCTCAGTTACTCAATTCAAACGGTGCGGGGTTTGCAGAGGACTTGGCAGTGTGGAAAGTAATCCGCACACACAAAACCTGTGACCTACTTCAACAGGAACTCGATCGCCTCTCCACATGGTCTTCAGTGGTCATATTTCAAACAAACCCTGTAAAGTCACAGTTCATTTGGTTAGGTAAGTGTAAGCACAGTTGAACTTACACTATGTTAGGTTAACACTTGCATCCCACGCCATTCTTGAGAGACCTCGGTTTACTCTCATGCTACCACCTAAAGTCCATGGACCACACGACTAGGCTTTACCAAAATAGCCGCCCTAAGCTTTGGACGCACAGGCGCAGTTTCAACAGTTGATCGGAAGAGACTGCCACTTAGTCTCCACAGTACGACAAATGTTAGAGTATGGCTTTCCGGCGTATTCTCTTATTACCCGGGGCAAGGTAGAGAATACTGAGCGTGTGCAGCGTGTGACCACCAGGCTTATTCGCAATTTACGAGGTGTACCGTACAAACACCGGTGTAAGAAATTGGGCTTTGCACCCTAGCTTTTCGCCGAATGCGGGTTGACCTCAAGATGACGCAGCCAATAATACATCTGGATGACTACCCCATGCTAAGGCCGCTGCTTCATCTGAGAACACCAAGCGGCAAAACGAGGACACCGATACAATCTTGTAGTACCGGATTTGATGGGGGTCACTCACCAACACAGTTTCGAACGTAGCGTGTTGAATGTAGGAAACAACCTGTCGCAGCAATTAGTTTAGGAGGTGGTTGCAGGAGTTCAAGAAATTCCTGCACAAACACTTAGCCGATGTAAAATAAATCGTTTACACTCCGACCTAACGGGTTTCTTTCCATGAGTGACATTAAATGCAGCCATACAGATATATCTCTTCTTACTGCTTCCAAGCAGTAATCATCGAGCGAGTTTCAGTAAATAATCTATGCAAATGCTTGGGGTAAACATCTGGAAATTGGCTAATATAAATTCCCCTTGCAGATGCAGTACCAGCGCGGCAGAGAGAATGCAGTTAGCTCAATTGACCATGTGACCCTAGTATACATAATGCTCTGTAGTTGTCCAAATGTTTTAGTTCAATATACTAAGTGATGTCTATTTTCTCATCTGGAGTGTTAGCAATTTAAGAACTAAAGTATGTGACATAACATTATAAACACCTGAAATGCAAATTGTTATGTTAATGCACGATGCCCGATTTTTACCTTATACTCGCACTGTTCTTTCCCTGGCAGTTGAAAAGGAACTCGAGGAATGTAAGGCACAACCCATCCATAAATTTTCCGCAAATGCACTTATTATATACTGCTTAGTGGAGAGAAAATTTCGCATAAATATTGCTTTAGCTAATGTCATTTTTCTGAAAGCATGTATACGTGTTTGTCCAGTATTGGTTTTGGACTGTCAAGATTACTAAAATTTGAAGAGATGATGTTGCCAGATACAGTTTAAGCATGATTATAACAAGCGCATGGTTAATTTTAATCGTCCTATCCTTATTAAAGTCACAAATGAGTTAAACTTCATTTTTTAGTATATGCTTGGAATAAATTATGAATACATACTTTGGAATTTAGCAGCCGTATCACATTTATTGCGAATACACTTCGCTTATGAAGTTGAATTTTGTCCCGAAAAGAATTTACGCAAGGCAAGGACTATACCGGCACTAAAAGCTTATACAAAATTGCATGGATTGCAAAACTTGCAAGGCGCCATCGCCAAAATTATCACCGACAAAAGAAAAATTCCTTTAGATATTAATGGTTTGTTATACGTGGCAAAGGAAGGTTTAACAAAATTGTGCTTAAATTACGTGTTAATTGACCTTTTTGACTGTATGGAAAATAACTCGATGACTCACAGAATTTCTCTGGATATCTATTTTTGGTTAGAAAAAGAGCGACATGAATCTAAGGCCTGCTCAATGCCTTTGATAATCATTTGATCCTAACAGCAAAACGATATCAAATAACCGGAAGTAAGAACGATTTAAATTCTATACCAGCAGAAACAAGGTTTTTGTTTGCCTGGATGTATCAGAAGTGTTCCTAGACCATATTTTTTTCATATGTTTGTGTTATGCTTGTCTTTGAAGGCCTAAAATTATAGCATGAGTTTAGCCAAGGAACAAGTATAAATAAATTGCACAAATTAGCATTTTTACGCAGCACGTTTTGACCCCAACAACATGTAGTGTTTCAGTATTCGATGTTATAGTGACATTTCTTTGTGTGAAGCATTCCGTTTTTAACTATGGTTCCATCTTTCACATTCCAAAATTTGTCCGAATATCTTTTAAGCAATTTTTGTGGTGTAACCTAAAATTAAACTATTAAAGGTAATTTGACAAAACGTATTATGCAAACTGCGTTTGAGTCCAATTTAATGAAAATATGAAATGGTTTATACTGCATTCAATCGATTTTCTAATCGCATCGCCGTGAGGTACAAGTGTTAAAAGTATGCGTTATTGACTACTGCTTGGCCAACGGTAATAACGCTGTCATATCCGTCTAGTTCGCCGTAGTTTTTTCTTCCAAATTCAACACCAAGTTTAAATCATAATAAACGTCATAACGGCAAAGAATGTCAAACCGCAACCTTCAGTTTCGATCTAATATAGACAAATAACGTATCGAGTGCCTCTTGATAAGCAGAAACCGAAAATGAAGAGGGAGCTGAGAGCAACCAAGTGCAGAAGCACTAGTCCGCAGTGAAGTTCACGACAACAGGATTAGTACCGAGGTTCTAGGAGGTGAACAAGACATGCCGCAAAGCGTGACATTGCTAAGTTAATAAAAAGTGCTTCCCTCATTGCCCCTTTTACACTTCTAGGGGGTTGGTCTATTAACGTGTACAACGCTTTAAGAACTTGGAACATCATACCGCATAAGCTTAAATGCTGTGCCTGATAACAAGGTTTCCATCAGACACGGACTGTTCTGTTTCCAGGAACCTTTCTCGGGCACACCAGAGAAAGTCTGCACTGCTTTGAACTACACTACGTCCATCGTCCTAAAAGGAATAATACATCGCTTTATGGTAACGTTGTAACTATTGTGTTTGTCCTGTGGCCAAATGGTTCGCTGGGACAAATGTCGCCTGCATTTGGAGTAGGTGTACAGGTGCGATCATTCGTTCCTAGTAGGCACTGGGAAATGGAACTTTCAATGAAAACTACAGACGAAGATCCGTTATCAAGAGATATGGTGTCTGGCCCAAGGCGGATTCAGGAGTGTTTCTAGAAGCAAGATGGCATTCTGTCAGAGATATTCCCACATGTGTGGAGTTTCCTCCGTAAGGAAAGACATAACAGTCTTCTAATTAGCGACAATTGCACCTGCAACTGGGGTGACAAGTAAAACCTCCCGGTCCAACTAAAAAATGAAGCCGCGAAGTTAACTGTGATATATTCATTTTTAATATTTTCATCCCAGCATTTCACGAGCTATTTAACGCTGCCTGGTCCGGATAAGTACCAGACGCCTTTCACCCATTTAGCACTGGTCAGTTGTGCGCAATTCTTCAGTCTCCTTCTGGGGATCCAACCCATGTTCGCTAGATGTAGATGCCAACGAGCCAGCAGCTTAAGCCATTGAGCCATGGGAGACGTCTGCTGGGCTATATACTTTGAAGGTAACTGGGATAGAACGACCTATCTCCCACTGTCGCGCAGGTTGCTACCTGAGCAGATGAGAGTGGTTGGACTCCAAAGCTAATGACTTCCCCTCACCAAATATTACGCCTATATTTTGGAACTCTCACAGTGGCGTAGCAAGAACCTGAAGATGTGTACTCTAGGGGCGAGAGGGTGCCTCAAGTCTGATGTGTGTGTGTATGGGAGGGTATGGACAGTATATTCAATTAAGAACCAAACTACTCTGTCTATAACGACAATACCCGGATAGTTTCGAAACAACCAGTCTTCACAATGCAACAGATACTTGCCACGGTACATAAGGAGACACAAGCAGACTCCACGATCAGACCATGACCTATCTTTTATTCCTTAAGTAACCCAATGGCTTATTGTTTTGTTACGGTAGGTAGTAAGGTGAGCACGATGTGCTGGCTCTTGGGGTGACTTGGAACTCTGAGACAATGGGGTGGAAGAAACCTGGAGATTGGTGCCTCAGGGGCGGAAGGTTGATGAAAGTCTGTGGTGTGTGTGCTGGGGAGGGTCTGGAGGGGTAGCACAGTGTACGTGAACGGTTTCCTTAGTGGGAGGTGAAATGTATTCATGGCATTATTAATATGAGATTACATAGAGAATAATCGGCTAGCTGGATTTTATAATATGGGGCTGGAGCCTAATTTAATTATCCAGACTGATATCCCGACATGCGTCTTGTTAACTGCATAATATATACGTTAATTGGTATGTGATCATGGGATTAATGCGTGGTAGAATTAAAGAGTTGAATCTCTTTATGAATGCTGCGAATTGCGCAGCAAAGTTACTGTTCACCCTTTCAGTTTGAGGATTTTCCACTTCACCAACGCATTTCCCATTTGGTGTTGGGCGGTTTTCCTCTTTTACCAAAATTAGTATTAGTATTAGAAATTAGAACCATAAACCGAATGCACCTGGGAGAGTGCATTTTTGCATGCTGTACACTTGCTAAAAGAAGCTTTTCTACGCTCCATTCGCTAGTGTGCTGGATCGAAAAGTCTTACGAGCTTTCGTGAAATAAGCGATCATCAAAAATTGTAGAGAAATCTTCCAGCACTTTCTGTTAATGGACAAAGAGATTTCATACCATTAGGTTCAGTAGGAAAGCCAGCAGACTTTGTTTGGATTTACGCTAACTGCTGAGTCAATTCGAAATGAGGCCCAGCCGGAATACTGGTGGTTTGTTTCCTTGGCTACTAACGTGTCCAATATATAAAGGCGAGTATCATGCGTGACGGTGTGAGTTGCATCATTTTCCTTGTCATGTATACTGCGTCTATCGCGCTGGCAGCCAGAGTAGCTGCAGTTTTTGAAAAGGTATGCTTGCGAAACAGGACCAAACCGCAGGTTAACGTGTAACCAATGTAAATTAGTTTACAGACATATTCAGAAACTTTCCGCAAGATATCTAGGATTGCTTCGATTTGGTGTTGGGACGAGCAACACTATAATTTTCATTTTACTTACGGTCTTTTTGATCGGAATGGCCGAGGTCCACATCAAGTGAACCGAGGTCTCAATTGAGGTTGCTTGTAGCAACCCAGCCACCAGCGGATTCTCCAAATTCATCTTTGCAATCTTTTCTGCTGGACCAAGCGTTGCTCGTGGATCTCAGTAGCATAGTGCTTATGGCGTCAACCATGAGCCACTAGGCTCTGAGTTCCAGCCCAACTCAGGCTATCTCCAACTGATGAGTCCCAACAGGACGAAACCGCGGTCTTGGGGTGCCGGTGTTGGGACGAGCAACACTATAATTTTCATTTTACTTACGGTCTTTTTGATCGGAATGGCCGAGGTCCACATCAAGTGAACCGAGGTCTCAATTGAGGTTGCTTGTAGCAACCCAGCCACCAGCGGATTCTCCAAATTCATCTTTGCATTGCTTCGATTTGTTCGTAAAGCGGAATGAAAACAGTCATGCGGCTGGTTATCTCCTTGAGCGATGTTTCTATAAGCAATGGCTGTTCAGTCGCTTAGGATGGTTCTGACAGTTGTGAGTTAGATTCGTCGGCGGCTCTTTCAGTAGAACCTGATATGTTCTACGGAGTCTAATCGACTGGTAAAATGGTGTCAACTGCAGATGCAATAAAAATTTCGACCACAGTGGATTGGTGGAGCGCCCCGTGGCATGAGCTTTTCTTCGCACCTGTAAGAACATGTGATCAACGGATACATCCATGTTGGCCATATTGCAAGGACGGTCGCCACCGTGGAGAAAATGGGTATATCACCCAGTTCTCCAATATTCGGGTGATATGACGATATGGTCCGTACCGTAGTTGTGAAATCGATGCTTTGGGTTAAGCGGTCTATGAGGCATTTGTAAGTCACTGGACGGTTACTCCATTACTATGTGTGTATGCTTCACAGTTTGCATTGCATAATGCAGGCGAGACAGTCAGTTTTTCTTATTGGATGGGGCTTGGGCTAACACTACGCCCACAAGCACCAGTAAAGCGCTTTCGGGGTCGTGGTGCAACCATGTTTTGTTACACTAAGCTTTCATAATGTAGAGAGATCGAGGTGGATCCGATATTTGAGAGACGCGGACCACTTTACAGGCGCAACGACCGATGCACTTGCCCAGCTTGGATTCATACAAATTAATGTACAGGTCACTGAGTCTAGACAAGGAGAGAAAAGCGAAAAGCCAGTAGGCCAGAAACTGTTCGTAACCGGTGGTTGCTGCTTTAATTTCTTCCTTGCACTTACAATCGTGATAAATCTGGTCAATCAGATTA